CCCATTATGACATTGTAAGCCGAGACCGTATCCACTATTAAGAACTCGGTCATGATACAAATTGGTCCAATCTTTATAGGCAGCGTGATCTTCCCTCTAGGAATAACTGTTTTACCACTAAAGCCTATAAGTGGAGTATTTGAGGGCTTAAGATCTTCCTTCTTAAGACCGAGTTTCTCGAAGAGATCCATATACATGATCTCAGAGGAACTCTCTAGATCAATTAAAACTCTTCTCACATTGTAATTAGCAATTTAAAGCGTAATGACTAGAGCGTCGTTGTGTGGTTGATGAACTCTGACCAAATCCTGCTTGGTGAAACAGATGGCCTCGGCTATCTCCACCATAATTCCTTTGTTCATAACCTCTAGGGTCAATCGTAACTTATAGACCTCTCTCTCCTTGGCAGCTTTTTGAATATACGCCACAGTAGAGTTGTTTGTAGACATCTGCGAATTTGTTGTAGTGTGGATCACATCAATCACCCCAGCTGGTGTGTTGTGATCTCCTTTGGGGTCGGTCCTGCCATCGTTGATTCTTACTCCACCTTCGATGTACTCTGTGACATGTCCTGCTTGGACTTGCTCTTCTAAATGCTGCTTTAAAGATCGGCAGTTCTCCATCATGTGACCTATATCCCGATGATATGAACATTTGAAGTTTAGGTTTCTCTTTGAAGGATCTCTAGTTAGCTTGTTAGGCCACTTGAACAACGACTGCGCCTTGATTTGGTTCAGAATCTTGTATATCGGTTCCTTGAAAAATGTATTTACCCCAAAAAAAGGGGACTTCTGGAGATAGCCCTCTTTCTCATTCTTCCTTCCGCCCTCGCAGCTTGGCTCGTTCTACTTGTCTCGACCGAACTGTCTTTTGCCATGATTTTCTTTAACTACATCTCTGGATAATTCGTCATCAACTTTGACATACTTTTCAATCATTGCCATCCATTCTTCCAGGTCGGTGGCTGGTCTTCTGGTGAGTGATTGGTATAGAGGGTTCTTCTTTGGCAATCCGATTTTGAAGGACGCCACTGTAATTTCAGGATTACATCCTTCCACCTCATTCATCGTTTCCCAATAGCGATAAGCGTACTCTAAGAAGATTTCATTATTATTCTTCTTCAACGTCAGTAGAGCCCCAACATCCTTTGGCTACTTACTACTCGTAATGAACCGAGCCATGAACTGCTCGGCTAGTTGCGACCATCCATCTATCGACCCCTTCGACAAACTGTCAAACTATTTCATGGCCGACTCCCCAAGACTGTTAGGGAAGATGGTGCAAAGTAGTAGCTCATTCCTTCGGTGAATTGTCATCAACTGTCTGTAATGTCTGATGTGCGAGGCTGGATTGGTTTTTTCGTCGTAAATTCTGAAATTCGGGACGGTAAACTTGCTCGGGATTTGCCCCCTTTCAAGCCATGAAGTAAAGGGTGATGACTTTATGCCGTTCCCGAATTCCCCTTGTCGCTCTCCTGGCTAGGTCCCTAGTCGACCTCTGTTTTGACTTTTTCAGGTGGTTGTTGAGTTCCTCGGTAATATATTGCTTCCATGAGTCTTTCTCTGAAACCCGAGGTCTTTTCTGTTGGTACTTATCATCCCTATCATCCTTGGTTCTGTCATGTTTTTCTCAGGACTTTCTCGTCGGTTGTTCCTCTCACGCTTTTCTTTTCTGGTCAAGTCCTTCAACCTGGCTTTCAACTCTTCATTCTCCTTTATCAGGTCCCTTTCCCTTGCGTAAGATTTCTTAAATAATTTGTCGTGTGCATCCAGCCTGTCTTGCAGGGATTGGACCAGCTTTGCCAAAGAGTGGTTCTCCCTCTCGGCACGGAGGTATTCCCCACGACCTACATTCTGCTGATTTTGATCTCTGGATGGTTTGAAATTAGTTGAAGATATCTCATCGTCTTCGTGAGGTCTAGATGGGCTTCTAGTGACATGTAAGCTAGCGTTGCTGCCAGATGAGAGTGATACTGGATCAAAATTTTCTAAGGCAAAACTACCTCCAGGAGATCCAATTGTACTTCTCAGTTTTGACATCGTAGCCTTTCGTTGCAAATGATGAAAATTTTCCCACAGATGGCTCCAAAAATGTAAGAGATAAAAATTGATAATACCTTCCACTAAAGATTGAATTTGATATTTCTGATAAATGATCTTTCTGAACTTGATCTCCCAATCTTCTTGTTCTGCAAAACGAATAAACTGCCCAAGATCGAAGTGCTTCGATCGAAGACACTCTGATGCTTAAGTCAGTAATGGAATAGAAACAATTGTTGAAACACAAGGAGAGTTCAGTGTCCCTTTCACCTTAGTTTCCTCTGTTTTTTATAGATAGTCATCCCCTTAGGATTTTCGTGATTTCTGATTTAAGGTGACACACCTTCCTTTAATTCAGCGATTCAGTTTGAGAAGTTGCTGATATTTTTTCAACAATTCCTTCTAACATCTGCAATTTCGTTGATTCATTCATACAAAATACCCAAAGTTAAAGGCTTATCTCTTATCTTTTTATCCTCTGTTTCAAACAGTTTGGTCATAATGAGAGTCGAGCTTTTTAGTTATTTTGTCGAACACATTGGTTAGTTCGGCTAGACCCATTTGACTGAGTGGTTAATGTCTTCGTCACGTGCCTTGTCTTATCAACCTCATGTGGGCTCATTAAATGTCACAACACGTGTAATAATGAGAGCCAACCCCTTCAATGATATTGTACCCTCACGCTCCAATTACATGTTCTTAGGTCGTCTTATTAGTTGGTTGTGAAGCTGCCATATGATTTGGGTCAAAATAATATTATCAAAATTTTGAGGGTAAAAAATATAATTCATTCTCTTTTTCGTGTGAAAATACTAATTAGATTAGGTTGGAACTTTGCATCAATGGGAGGGTGATCCGAGTGTTTTTTTTTTTTTGAGTAATTCTATTTGGATTTTAAAATTTGATATAATTTGTTGGTATAATGATGTGGGTTCAATAAAATTATTGGATCAACACTAAATTCTAATATTTAATAAAACTCACAGTCAATCTAAAAGTCATAGTGAATTAGGTCAACAAATTATGTCAATAAATTATGTAACAATAACATTGATCTTTTGGAATAATCTTATAGGATGTCAACATTTGTTCCGACTATTTTCTCAAGTTATCAACTTTGAAATCAGTTAACTTCGAAATGAGTTATCGTAGTTCAAATTAATTTAAAAATATATCAAAAATGGGAGGGATCGACTCTTAAAAGAACTCGAGAAATATTAATCCTAATTTTTGTTTAACAGGCTGTCACGTGACGACCATCTAAATTGGGTTTTTTTTTTCCTTCTTTTTAATAGGTAACCACAGGGGAGAGGGTGGGAGGGAGAGAGAGAGAGAGATGGCACCACTGAAATCTCTGGAGCGGGAGTGTCCAATAATCGACTCCGATTTCCAGCAGTTCTGTGCCTCTCATGGGATTATATCAGGTCTTTACTTTCCCACCCATTTCCTTTCCTTCCTCATTTTCTCGAGAAAAAATCACTCTATTCAATTCTGCATGAATTTTTGTCTGTGCCCCTACTTCGATAATCTCATTCACAGCAGTTAGTTCTGGTATTTAATCTTCTTCATTCAGTAGGCGTATTTTTCAGCTTAGAAAAACTTCTGCGTTCTCCGTTTTTGAAGTAATTGAAATTTTCCATTAGTTCTCCGTTTGATTGCAGATGGAAAAGACATGAATAAAACAGGTAACCTTTTAGGTTTTCAATTTATTGTGACCGACGAAAACTAAAGACTTTTTCACTCAGAAAATGCACTACTTGGCCTAGCTTAGCTAACATGGTTGGTATCAGAGCTTCGAATCTCGCTGTCACTTAAATTATTCAAAGATTTCCATATGCGAGGCCTAAAATTTAGTCTGCAGTTAACGGGCATGTTGAAGTATAAATCCTTATGTTATACTATTTTTAACAATTTAAGCTTTTGGAGGAGAAGATTGTTTAACAGAAACCAACAAAACAGGAATTTTATTAGAACAATATTAATTAGAATGCTGCTGGTGAATCTTGTACCATGTAAGTTAACTGGTGTCTCCCTGTGGAATGACTCAATAATTGTGTTGTTAATGTGCTACTTCCAATGTGCTAATATGATCAATTGGAGAGATCAAGTCTGGCTGAGCTCAGAACGGCTGTCTCTTGATAATTCCTTACTTTCAAATTGCAGGTTTTAAGTTGAATTTTGATAGGGGTGGGATTCTTACCAACATTGGGTCTGATATATGTGAATGTTTTGTAAGTGCATTTGAAATACAAATTGTCTTCTACTGCAGTTCTTAAAATACATCTGATTCTAGTTGGAGGTAGTAAACAAAGGGTACAAGTTCTGGCATTTAAATCTATCAAAAGGTTATAACTGATTGAGTTTTTTTTTAATCAAAGTTTGGGTTAAGTATAATTGTGAAATTACCGCAGAATGTTAAATTGTTTATTTAGTTTTTGCATGAGTTGTGAGAAATGTGCACTTAGTTGCCACACGTACCAAGTTTTGTATGATAGAAAAGATGTATGCAGAAGTCATGATTTGTGACTTCCATGGGACACTCCAGCCTTATTTTTCCTAAGATCCTATTGCAACAAATTGTGGTGTACATTAATGAAATAAATGTCCATGTGGTGCATGCATTTGGTTAGTTTTCTACTTGCAGGGCTTAGATTTACGATCATTGCCCTTGTATTATGTTAGTTTCAACTTCATTGAAGACTGATAGGCATTGTTTTTTCAGTATTTAAACAAACTTGCTCACCTGACAAGTTTTGTCCTTTTAATTAATCTGGTCTCATTCTTCTGCAGTGGAGGATTTCCTCATTCATGACCTTTATATGCTAGTGGCTTTGGCAGAACAAAACTCTACCTCAGAGAGATTGAAGCAGGTTAGGTGTTTGGGAAAATCTACACACCTATGTAAATTTTCCTAGTATTATAGTACAGCATGAATTTTCAAAATATGAGAGTACTCTATATGTCTCTCTCTTTTGTGGGCAAGTAGGGAATTACCCAGGTCCTGTCTATCATAGATGGCCTGCATCAACCATGGCTAGATGGTATGGAGTTGCTGGAAGATGCTCAATGGAATAAACGTATACTATCGATGGGGTGTGAAAGGTTGCTTGAGCCTGAATATACACAATTTGCTTTGGCTATGATAAGTCTATGAAAATACCTAGATTGCTGATTGCATTTTTTGTTAAGTAGGATCGATATGTTTCTTCAAGGTGGACTCCATGAAGGACATCTTACAGAATTAGTTGGACCATCATCCTCTGGTAAAACACAAGTAAGATTTTACTCCAGATGATAATTTTGTGCTAATAAACCAAGGTTCCAGATGCTTCTATAAGAATTCATGTGATCTTTGGGGCATAAAATTATTACAGTAATCTTCACCTTACTTTTGATTGCCACTATTGTGTTTTTTATACAAAATACTTGTATGACTCAGGTTTGCCTACGAGCTGCCTCCAGCGTTGCGAAGAATTATCTGGATAGTGTGCTGTTCTTAGACACATGCAACTCCTTTTCGCCTAAACGTATTGCACAGATTGTCGGCCAGATTTCAGATTCTGACAATAAAGAAGTAAGCATCAACGTGCTAGACTGTTATTTGTTTCTTTTTTAGTTCATCCACAACCCAATCCAGAAAAATATATTCCAGAAGCATAGAGTAGACTTCCTGTGTGGGGGGGGGGCTTGTGTATGCCTTCCACTTTACAATTTTTAATCCAACTATTGGGCCAGTTGCATGCAGTTGGGTCTGGACAAGTGTCGTAACTTCATGTATAGCTGCTATAGCAATCACTCTTTCTTGACTTGCCTGTGAACTTGATATATGCACCTCCTAGAATGAAAAATAGGCTTATTTGTGTGGGAATGTGCGGAAATTTAGGCTTGTAAATGCAACTTTTCTTGTTACTGGTGTGTGAGATTGCCTTATACCGTGAGGCCTTGAGATTTCTAGTGCATGTCTGTCCGCTTCCTTTATTAAAGCCTCTCGTTCTTCTCTAATGTTCTCCTCTGTCATCTTTCTTGTAGGTGAACAAAGTTATTCAGCGAGTAATGAACAGTATAGTGTATCACGCTGTGTTTGACATCTATACGTTGTTGAATGTGCTCCATCGTCTAGAGTTTAATTTGAGATCTCAGGTGAATGAACATTGACCTTTCCGTCATCCTTTTATTCTTTATTTTTTGTGTTGTTAGATTTCTTGGTTACATTCTACTAGAAATTGGAGAGCCTTTTTGAATGCAGAAAGGTTCGCAGGTGCGGCTACTTATTGTTGATTCAATTTCATCGCTTATCAGCCCAATTCTTGGAGGCAATGGTACAAATGGTGCGTCTACTTGTGTGCACATAACAGCTATCTGACTATTTGTGACTATCTCTTTTATTTGCTTAAAAGCTCCATGTAATTTGCACATTACGGTTTCTTGAAATATTATTCTTAGAATTCGTAAAATGTAAACATGCACATGCTTGGTGTTTTCATCTTACTGGGCGTGGTAAGTGCTGACCCAAAAAAAAAGTTGGTAAGTGTATGTACATTCTTCATATTGTAATCCATGAAGCATCATGATTCTTTTCAGGATAAGGCAGGATCACAGTGAAACAGTTTTTTAATATTTTTAGAAGTTTAGTCAAATGGATGTGTTAGGCTTTTCATACATATGCTGAAATGAATAATGAATTATCAGCAATATTTAATTAATTTAGAAAAATATGTTACGAGAGTTTGAAGGGCAGCATGGGAAGATCTTCGTCAAGCATACCTAAAAGTTCCCGAACTAGTCCACCACCCCCGGATCCCCCAGCCCAACACACACAAACTCTAATAAAAATCATAGAACTTAGAGGACAATAAACATGAGTTCTCAAACTATGTTGTGCAGTTGTGCCTTTCATATGCACTATCTTTCTTCTGTCTGTAGATTGCTCTGTTGGCATCAAATTTAGAGACAATTCAGACTTCTCAGTGCCCAAACCAAATGACAAGCCTTTTCTCTTTCGAAGGGAAGGCTAGGATGCACAAATATAGATAACCAGTATGGAATGGAAGTTGTGTATGGGTTCTACCAACCAATTTAAAATGGATTCCTATACACATACTCATAGATGTATTACTGTTAAGTGACACTCCTACAACAAAAAAAATATCGAACACCGCTTAAATGTTCTGCCACCAAATATCTTGCTACATAAATTCTTTGTCTTGTGTGTTTGATATCTGTAGTAGTTATCTGCACAATTGTGGATTATTTTTTAG